ATTCCCCTCCCCACCCCACACCTCTCTGTCCCCCACGCTCCGGCGCCACTCCACTCACTGGGACTCTGGCCTTCCGGTGTGCGCTGGTGACAAAGCCCTTCATAGGTGACGAAGTAGATTCCCAAGGTGGGGGTGTCCCTCAGCGTCAGGGCCCAGGCCCCTCGGAAGAGCCCCCGGGGTCCCTCCTCCCGGAAGACGGAGGCCGCACAGTGCACGGGCCCCCGGTACCGGGGCGGGGAGCTCCGGGGCTGGGCCCTCGGCTCTGTCTGGTTCTGTAGCCGGACTTTGATGAGGTCAAAAGGGGCCAGGCAGAAGGCCTGTCGGGAAGAGACATCAAGGCCCTGGGTGGGGCTTTGGGCTAGGAACTGTCCCCTTATGCGAAGAGGAAGGAGGGGTCAGCGTCGCCAGCACCCACTGCCAGTTCTCAGCCTCCCACACGCACGGCTGGGGATGGCCTGGGATGTCGACGTGCAGGGGGGACAGGCCACCTCCCGGCCTCAGGTCCCTCACAGTAGTACTGCCCCTCCTTGTGCAACAGCACCCACCTTGCTTGGCAGGCAGCAGGCACTCAGGGACAACCCTGGATTCTTTTTCCAGGAGGGAGGGAGGCTCTGGCCTCCCCAAAACCAGGGTGGGCATGCATGTGCAGTGACTGGGGTTCAATGAAGGATTCGGTCTGCGACCACAACGGCAAAGAACTGACCCCCTACCCAGGGTGAAGGAGGTCACCTCCTTGGTGCTGTTCTAATGACAAGACTCAGCTCCATAGATTCTCACCCCTCCACCTCATGCATGACACCCCTCAGAGGCCCTGGGAGCAAGCACTGAGCTAACCCTTTTTTTTTCCTGGGTCGAGGCCTCACTCTGTTGCCCAGGCTGGAGTGCAGTGGCGCGATTATGGCTTACTGTAGCCTCGATCTCCTGGGCTCAGGTGATCCTTCCACCTCAGCCTCCCAGGTAGCTGGAACTACAGTCATGTGCCACCATGCCTATTAATTTTTTTTTTTAAGAGATGGGGGTCTTGCTATGTTGCCCAGGCTAGCCTTGAACTCCTGGGCTCAAGCAGTCCTCCCACTTCAAAGTGCTGGGATAATGATGATAATGATTATTATTATTATTTGAGTCGGAGTCTCACTGTCACCCAGGCTGGAGTGCAGTGGCACACTCACGACCACCATATCCTCGACCTGCTGGGCTCAGGCAATCCTTCTGCCTCAGCCTTCCAAATAGCTGGAACCACAGGGCATGCGCTACCATGCCTGGCTAATTTTTTGACTTATTGTAGAGACGAGGGCTCACCAAGTTGCCCAGGCTGGTCTTGAACCCCCGGACTCAGGCAATTTTTGTCTCAGTCTCCCAAAGTGCTGGGATCATAGGCTTGAGCCACCATGCCCAGCAGTGCTGGGATTACAAGCATGATCCACTGTGCCTGGCCTGGGCTAGCCTTTGTGCCTCTAGAAAACCCCCTACCACTAATGTCCCAACAAAGAGTCTTCTGAGTGAGGTGACAGGTGGGATTGGGCAGGTCTTAGAACTCTTAGCATTGGCAGAAGCTGACGGGACACAGATTTGGGATGAAATTGGGACAGGGCCCTGGGTGAGGGTCAGTACTGGCAGATGTGGAGGGAGATGGAGTTAAGGTTTAGCTCAGGGAAGCAACTAGGTCAAGAGAGGAAATTGAAGTCCGGGTGAGAATCTGGCTCCTCGCCCCACTGGGGCGGGGGCTGGTGTGTGTATTTTTTGCTTCAGTTTTTTTTTTGTTTTTTGTTTTTGGCAAGTTCCATGAGCTTAGTCCCTCAGCCCCAGAGATGGCTGATGGTGGAAGGGCCGATGGTCACCTCTTGTGGTGGCCTTTGGGGTGTGGCAGGCGATGGTTTCATTTGTTGACTTCCACCCCAGCATGGAAAGTAGTAAGTTGCGGACTATCCCATGCAAGGTGGGCCCAGAGCCAGCTGGCAGGACTGGACCAAGGGTTTCTCCAGAGGGCTGCTGGTTGAGCTCTGGGCTCCTGAGGGCTGATGGGAGGCTGGGGCCAAAGACAAGGTGGCAGGCCATGCCCTTGGGGGTGGCAGAGTGCCAGACACTATGTCCCTGTTGTTCAAGGTCAGCCTCAACCAAGCCCAGAGCAACGTCTGTGCCCATCAGAGAGTGTCAATCTCTGCCTCTTCCCCACAGCTTCACATTCAAGCGCATTTTTTTTTGAATCGGGGTCTCACTCTGTCACCCAAGCTGGAGTGCAGTGACACGATCATGGCTCACCGCAGCCCTGACCTCCTCGGCTCAGGCGATCCTTCTGCCTCGGCCTCCTGAGTAGCTGGGACTATAGGCACGCGCGACCATGCCTAGCTAATTTTTTTTTATGTTTTGTGGAGACAGGGTCTATGTTGCCCAGGCTGGTCTCAAACTCCTGGGCTCAAGCAATCCTCCTGCCTCGGCCTTCCAAAGTGCTAGGATTACAGGTGTGAGCCACTGCGCCCAGCCTCAAATGTATTTTTGCTCCTAGACTCTGGTAAACTGAAGCCACAGGGTTGATGGCAAACTCAGGCTCCAGATGGCTCCCTGGCCCAGTCCCCATGAGTGGCCTTGGCAGTCTCTGCTTCCCAAAGAGCTAGAGGGGAGGGCGACTTAGGAACTGGCCCTGGCGGGGATTAATTCAGGCCACTTCACCTAGGGTCTCGGCTCTCTGCCTTGGTTTGGTGGGGTGCAGGTCTCAGGAAATATGGAGGCATGTTCCCCAACAAGAATAAAAGTCAGGACCTTCAGGGGGGTCTCATTAATCATTAATTCATTTGCATGAGCAACCTGACTTTGTCCTCTGACCTCTCCCTCTGCCCCATGAAGTGTGTCGGGGCGTCAGGGCACATGCCCAGCAAGGGGTGACGCAGGTGCCCAGCTGGGGTGCAGGAGGGAGCCATGCATGTGTCCCTCTGCCACCCTTCCTCAAAAGCCCGGGCACTGCCACGCTTAGAATCAAGACCAAAACTAAATGATTGGAGTGACTCAATGATTGACTTCATCAATACCCTGGGCCTCTCCCAGCATAAGTTGTGGACTGGGGACTCAGGTGAGGCTCCCAGGTGGTGGACACCTAGGCACTGCAGGCAGAAGGCAGAGCTGGGTGGGGCAGGGTGAGTGCCGACCCCGTCAGGGCCAGGCCGGAGGGGCTGGGCTCACAGCTCTGCGGGGACTGGGAGTTCTCTGGGTCAAAGGTAGCCCTGGGGAGTGGGCTTCCCACAGCTCTGAGGCTGGCAGACCCCTCTAGAGCGGGCAAGCCCTGCCAGCCAGAGACTGGGGCATGGGCTGCTTCTCCAGGCGTCCTCTCGGCACTGTCTCCCTCAGCACCTCCTGCAGCTCTCTCTGCCTCCCCCCTCCTTCTCCACAGCCCCCCACCCAGGCCTGTGGCCTGGAGGGCCACAGCAAGGTCAGGCCAGGTCCCTGGAGCAGCGTCGCCCTCGGGAAGGCCTGCCCATCCACAGCTGTGGGTCACCAGAGGGGACCGAGAGGGAACAGGTTGGGCTGACATCCTGTGTCACCTGCGTGTGCTCCATGCTGCCTCTCACCTGCAGGAACCCCCCAGTGCAGCCTGCTATGAAGACATGTGTGTAGCTGGGCGGCTGGGCCCGCCGCTCCTGGTGGGAGGTGGCCGTAAGCACCAGTAGGGCGTTGCTGTAGACCCCAAACAGGACGGAGTTGACCACGGCTATGCTTGCGATGGGGAAGCTCATGCCCTTGAAGAAGCCCAGGAGCTGCAGGACACACAGTGACACCAGAGGAGGCATGCAGGCCTCCCCTTTGTCCTTCTCAGCCCTGGCAGGGCCATGTCTGGCTGGACACCACTCCCAAGCCCTGCCACTGGGAGGGCAGACGGGCTGAGGCTGGGAGGCCTTGGCTCCACCCTTGGGGTGCTACGCTACCACCCAGTCCCCCCAGGGGCCCCAGGTCTTCTCTCCTCTGAGGCAGAGCCCTGCCTGGGGGGAGAAGGGGGCTGGGACAGACCGCCCAGAGGCCTCCACCCTAAAGACAGGGCCACTCACCGACTCATGGCGGTAAGTCTTGACCATGCAATCGATGATGCCCTGGTACCTGGTCTGGGTCTGCAGCCTCACCTGGACAGGAAGGACAGAGCAGGCCGGTGGCAGGGTGGGCAGCCCAGCCCTTCCCTCTGGCCCCTGGAGCAGGATGCCAGCAGGCAGGAGAGGCAGGACGGGCCTCCGTTACCAGGCCTGACGCCAGGGCGCACAGACATTTGGGTCAGGTGAGATCTTTCATTTCTCTGGTACCTCCCGCAGACTCACCTTTACAGTGTCAAAGGGATGCCCCAGCACCAAGCCCAGAGCTCCTGTGGTGACAAGAAGGTGCTGTGAGGGAGGGCCCTCGGGCCAGGCCCGGGAAGCAAGTCTGAGCCTAGAGGAAAGAGGGGTTCAGGCAGGAGGAAGGAGAGCAGGGCCTTCCCAGACACCTTCCTGGCAGGCGCTCCCAGCCCCGCTCCGCACCAGGCACTGGGCTAGGAAGCACTGGGACAAGGGAGTGAGACCCCCGCCTGAAGACAAGCACTCAGGAAGGAAGAGCCAATCACAGGCGCCTGTGCCCTCAGCGGGGACCAACACCGAGGGCCCCCTGCTTGTGACGCGTGGGAGTCTGGTCAGATCTCCCATGCTCCCGCCTTCCGGCCAGCTTTATTCCTTCCCTCCCTCAACTCATAAAGGCCGGGTGCAGTGGCTCACGCCTGTAATCCTGGCACTTTGGGAGGCAGAGGTGAGAGGATTGCCTGAGCCCAGGGGTTCCAGACCAGCCTGGGCAAACTGACAAGACCTCATCTCTACAAGAAATCAAAAAATTAGCCTGTAGTTCCAGCTACTTGGAAGTCTGAAGCGGAAGGATCGCCTGAGCCCAGCTGGTCGAGGCTGTGGTGGCCGTAAGCATGTCACTGTACTCCAGCCTGGGTGACGGAGTGAGACTCTGACTCAGAAAAAAAAAAAACATCTCATAGTGTTGTCACCTTGACCCAGAGCTGGCCCTGCCACCAGCTGGCACTACAGTGCTGGAGGGCCCTTATAGGAGTCCTGCTGGCTCCCGAGGGGGTTCTCCCATTCCCCCCCGAGTCTCGCCCTCCACGGCAGAGGCTGGTTCTGGAACTGGGGTGGTGGCATCCCCAGGAGGTGGATTCAGAATGTCCCCTCTTTCTCCTGAGATGAATGTCACTCAGAAGCCTGGGGGAGCCCACAGACACAGCAGGACCTAGGGCCCAGGAGGGCTAACGTTGCCAGGCAGGGCAGAGGCCCGAAGGGTACTCAGACCAGTAGGTGAGGTCAAAGGTGAACTCCCTCTCTGAGCCCCACAGGGTGGGCTGGAGCGTGGAGCTCTAGGCTCAGGGTGCTCATGTGACTTCCCACCCTCAGCAGGTGTCAGGCGGTGTGGCCTCGGGTGGCAGAAATGGCACCTCCCACCTGTGCTTTCTCTCCTCTCCCTGTCGGCCACTCCTAGGAGGCCCTGGGGACAGCTGGCTCTGGGACACTCCCGGGGAACCCGGACTTTGGCCTCGGCACCTCCTGGGTCACCCATTTTCCCCAGGAAGTGATCTACCGTTGGGTGTGATGTGACAGAAGGAAGAAAATGTCTCACCAGAGATCCAGCCAGCCACAAACTCCTCCACGGGCATTGTCTGGGCTCACGGGAACTGGCAAGAGAAGACAAGGAAGTCGAATGCCATCCTCCCCTCCCCCAAGCTGATAACCTCCCACTAATGTTTAACCCTGGCTGGAGGGTGAGAAGTGGCCTGGTGCCCAGTTCAGGCAGCCGGGCCAGGGGACCGAGCCAATTCCGGCGACCCTGACCGCCTGGAGGAGGTGTGTGGAGTAGGGACCTCACAGGCCAGGGTGACGGACCCATGGGGGGCCTGATCCCCCAGCCTGGGTAATGACAGCCTTGCTGCGGGGCTGGGGATGGCAGCCAAGTCCCAGTCCCTGGGTCGGGCCCCTCCAGGGCTGCCTTGGTCAGAAAGGGACAAGGCCCGGCCTGCCCAGCCTAGCCCAGTTCCACTCCCATTCATGTCCACGGAAGCACAGGCCACCGCCTCCCACCCACAGACAGGGAGGCCCGATGACGACAGGCCACGGCCACCAGGGGGCAGGGCCAGCCCGCAGTTGCCAGCCACGTGGCAGGGTGGGAGCCACCCAAGGGGAATGCTCCCAGGAGTGACTCACCAGCCCGGCTGTCCTCTCCAGGGTTGTTTACAACTGACTCCCTGGTGTGAGTCAGAAACACAGCCTCCCTGGGCCTCCCCTTTCCCAGGGGAGAGACGAGGGTTTTGATCCCATAAAGATTTGCTGGAGTCCGCCTGCCACGGCCCACCCGGCCGAGTCAAAACCCAAATCCTTTCTGGGCTCCGCGAGCTGCAGGGCACTGCCCGTTCTCTGACTCGGTGCCCAGACACCCACCCCCTTGCTCGCTCTACTGCAGCCACTCTGGCCTCCGGACTCGTCTTCAGACGGGCTCCTGCCTCTAGTCTTTACCCTCCCTGGCTGTTCTCTCTTCCTGGATACCCCTGTGGGCCCTCGCCCACCTCAAGCCTGGGTTCCCAAGTCACCTCCTCGGATCAGCCTACCCAATCACCTTGTGGAACGCTGCAGTCCGCCCCGCCCCCAGCAGTAGACTTCCTTGCCTCTCTGGTTCTTCTCGTCTTTCTACATCATGCTCAACACCCCAGACTCCGGATGTAACTTGCTGTCTGTCTAGACGGGCAGGGATCTCTGGTTGTTTTGTTCACGAACGTATCTCCTTAGAGCAGTGGGTGGTACCGATGGGCATTCCATAAAGATTGAGTGAACGAATGATGGGAAAGGTCAGGGACCAGCCTCAGCGGCCAACCCTGAGGCTCCAGTGCTCAGTCTGCATCACCACGGGGACCCTAGAAGACATAAAGGCCTGGCCGGTGCGGTGGCTCACGCCTATAATCCCAGCACTTTGGGAGGCCGAGGCAAGAGGATTGCCTGAGCCCAAGGGCTCAAGATCAGCCTGGGCAACTTGGCGAGACCTCATCTCTACAATGAATCAAAACATTAAGCCGGGCTCGGTGGCTCAGCCTGTAATCCCGCGCCTTGGGAGGCTGAGGTGAGTGGATTGCCTGAGCTCGCGGGTTCGAGATCAGCCTGGGCAACTTGGTGAAACCTCATCTCTACGATAAATCAAAAAATTAGCCGGGCGTGGTAGCGCACGCCTATAGTTCCAGCTACAGCTGTCCTCTGGGATGACTTCTGGTTCTTTTAACTCTGGAAGGCGCTGGAAAGGGTAAACTGAGCCAAGGTGGGCCAGTGCCGTGGGAATAATGCAAGGTCGCAACAAGGAAGAAAGTAGGAAAAACTAAAGATTATTATTCACCTTTTTTTTTCCTGTTGCCCAGGCTGGAGTGCAGTGGCATGCTCATGGCCATCACAGCATCGACTGGCTGGGCTCAGGCGATCCTTCCGCCTCAGCCTTCCAAGTAGCTGGAATCACAGGCTTGTGCTACCACGTCTGGCTAATTTTTTGATCTATTGTAGAAATGAGGTCTCGCCAAGTTGCTGAGGCTGGTCTCAAACCCTTGAGCTCAGGCAATCCCCTCACCTCGGCCTCCCAAAGTGCTGGGATTACAGCCTTGAGCCATCGCACCCGGCCTGACTTCACTTTTCACAGACGGACAAGGGGCCAACACTCCAAGGCAAGTGTGGAGGGGCAGGCTAAAGACTAGGAATATTTGGCTGGGCTTGGTGGCTCAGCCTGTAATCCCAGCACTTTGGGAGGCCGAGGCAAGTGGCTTGCCTGAGCCCGCAGTTTCGAGACCAGCCTGGGCCACCTGGCGAGACCTCGTCTGTACAAAAAACCAAAAAATTAGCCGGGTGTGGTGGCGTGCACCTGTAGTTCCGGCTACTTGGAAGGCTGAGGTGGAAGGGTCATCTGAGCCCAGCAGGTCGAGGCTGCATGGTGGCTGAGAACGTGCCATTGCACTCCAGTCTGGGCCAGGGAATGAGACTCCAACTCAAAAAAAAAAAAAAAAGACTAGGACTATTTAAGGCTCTAAAGCAAACCGGTAAAGCTAAGGGGCGTAACTTCGGAGGAGGTTTGGGTCACAGGGAGTGTCCAAAATTTTATTTTTTGGTTTTTATAGCAGTCACATAAATTACATATCTTGATATTGCCAGGCATCAGTGTTCCATGACCTCAGGAGGTTAGCTGGGGTAGTCACAGTCGGGTAATAACAATATATCAGTAAGCATGGCTCCCGGTAGTGTCCCGAAGGTCGTCGTCATAGGCAGCTGATAACAAAGTATTAATTCAAATGACTAACAAAAAAATAAATTGTTACCAGCCGGGCTCGGTGGCTCAGCCTGTAATCCCGCGCCTTTGGGAGGCTGAGGTGAGTGGATTGCCTGAGCCCGCGGGTTCGAGACCCGCCTGGGCAGCGAGACCTCATCTCTACAATAAAACAAAAAATTAGCTGGGCGTGGTAGCACGCGCCTGTAATTCCGGCTACTTGGAAGGCTGAGGCGGAAGGATCGCCGGAGCCCAGCGGGTTGAGGCTGCGGTGGCCGGGAGCGGCCACTGCACTCCAGTCTGGGCGACAGAGTGAGACTCCAACTCAAAAAAATAAAAATAAATAAATAAATAAATTGTTAGCAAGCAGGACATGCTCAAGGGGTTCCACATAATCACTAATTTCTAAGACTAAAACATTCTGGATTTGGAGTTCATCATACTCAGTGATATATCACAGAAACAAAGAACAGAGTTCCATATGTTCTCACTCATAAGCAGAGCTTAAACAATTAGAATGCTATAAGAAAGCGATTGGTATCAGTGGGAAACGGTCAGGGGAGGGGGGGTGGGACTGGCAGTTGAGGGAAACTGCTAGGGGAGGGAGGGGCATACCTCATCAAAAACGGCCGAGCTTGGTGGCTCAGCCTGTAATCCCGTGCTTTGGGAGGCTGAGGTGAGTGAATTGCCTGAGCCCGCGGGCTCAAGACCCACCTGGACAACTTGGCGAGACCTCGTCTCTACAATAAATCAAAACATTAAGCCGGACTCGGTGGCTCAGCCTGTAATCCCGCACCTTGGGAGGCTGAGGTGAGTGGATTGCCTGAGCTCGCGGGTTCGAAACCAGCCTGGGCAACTTGGTGAGACCTCATCTCTACAATAAATCAAAAAATCAGCCAGGCGTGGTAATGCACGCCTATAGTTCCAGCTACTTGGAAGGCTGAGGCGGAAGGATGGCCGGAGCCCAGCAGGTCGAGGCTGCGGTGGCCGGGAGCGTGCCACTGTACTCCAGTCTGGATGACAGAGACTCCAACTTAAAAAAAAAAAAGGGTGCCTGCATGATCAATGTTTATAAACTTAACCCTGAATTGTACCCCACATCTTTATAATAAAAAATTTTTATTTAATTAATTAATTTATTTATTTATTATTTTTTGAGTTGGAGTCTCACTCTGTCACCCAGACTGGAGTGCAGTGGCCGCTCCCGGCCACCGCATCCTCGACCTGCTGGGCTCCGGCCATCCTTCCGCCTCAGCCTTCCAAGTAGCTGGAACTACAGGCGCGCGCTACCACGCCCGGCTGATATTTTGATTTATTGTAGAGATGAGGTCTCGCCAAGTCGCCCAGGTGGGTCTCGAACCCGTGGGCTCAGGCAATCTACTCACCTCAGCCTCCCAAAGTGCTGGGATGACAAGCTGAGCTATCGAGCCCGGCTAACAAAAATTTTTTAAAAATAAAAATAAAACATTCTTTTCATTAATGATTACATGGCAAAAAACATATGGGGTGTCCAGGCTGTTTAGCAAGGGAATTTCAAAGAGTGAGGCCTAAGCAAAATGGCTGTGCTGTCCTAAAATGGCTACATTCAACTAAAGATACTCTAAACTTTAGAGGTTTCCTCCTTTCTGTCGCCATGGACCTGTTTTTCTCCCTGAGTTATACACCTCAGGCACACCCACGCTGGCATTGCCAGGACATGTCGGTGAAGGCCCCTGGGGATGAGATTTCACACCTTCCTCTTTGGGGCCTCAAAGCCTCTTCCCAGCCTGGGGTGTTCCCAGGTTAAGGTCTCCAAGGTGTGCGGTGAGATAGCCAGGTTTCACGTGACTGCTCCCTGGAAAAACTGAGTCGCCTGGGTTTCTGACATAGACTCATAATTTAAGAGTGGGAAGGGCCCTGGTGGGTCATCGAGTTCAACCTCCTCGTTCTACAGATGAGGAAACTGAGGCCCAGAGGGGAAGGGGCATGTCTGGATGAGCCTTGGCCAGGATCCAGTCTCCAGGACAGCCAAGAGCCCCCCCTTCAGGGGGATGCTGCAGTACAGACTGTCGCCGCCTGCGTCACCTTTACCCAGAGCATCGGGGGTCCCTGATATGTCCCGGGAAGCGTGTCCCTCTTACTGGTGGGGGGCCTGGTCCCAAGTGTCAGAGCTGGTGCCCCGACCCCAAAGATTTTCTTGAATCTCTGCCACACTCTGTTACGAGCCAGCGGTCGAGGCCTCTGTGACGGGCATCAAGCCCTCGGTCATCTGGGTGGGCGCTGGGGCTCATTCGTGGCGCGGCCAGCCCCCGGACGAGACCAGACACGTGGGACGCGCGCCCAGGGCTTCCGAGCATGCGCGGGCCCGCGGGGG